CTTGAAAATTCAGGACAACAGTGCCCAGAGAGATAGAGAGGACTGAGGGGAGCATCAACACTCACTCCTGGCACTGCCCCTGAAAGTGTGAAAACATTGGAAGGTTCTGGAAGGCACTCTGGGACTCAGCAAAACATATGTTCACCTCCTCTTCCTGGGCCTGCAGCTAGAGTACGCTCCAATCCTCCCCCCTTAAAGGCAGGTATGGTCAGGTTTCTAAGCCCCAGCCAATGGCAAGAAAGTGAAGCCATGATATCTACACCTCAGCCTGCCCCATTGCCACTTCCCAAGCCAGCCCTTCCTGGTCTCCCTTGTCTCCTCAGAAGCCATCTGTACCTGAGAGCTGAAAAGTTCCCACATACCACGGGCCCCCAAAAACACTGTTAATGGAGGCAACCGGAATATTCATCTGTGGCTCATAAGCCAAAAGAATGTCATTTTTGTTTGAAAAACATTTGTTTTGTATATTTGTCCCAATGAACTGAATCTCATTAACACCTTCACATCGCTAACTTAGTCAATTCACTAGCACAATTTCTTCTCAGTCAGGAGGCATGTCCTTGTGCAAATCTGATAGCAAACTCACCCACACTGGGGGGACCCAATAACTGAAGCTGTGCCCAAATGCTGGATGAACTTACAGTGCCCCACAGAGGATAGATGCCAACAAACACCCATATCAGAAGACTTCCAGACTCTACTGTGAAATGGATAAGAGTGGGTTACAAAACAGAGTGCATGGCACATATCCAAGTGTGCACACATGTTCTTATATGTGTACACATATACAGTCAACAAAAAGACCTCTTTCATACTTCCCTAAATGATTTGGGATTTTTACCATCGGCATAAAACTATACAGCAAGCCACTTGGTGACGAATGAAAATAGGCAGCCTATTCATAAACAGTTTAACGTTCACTATGTTACAGGAATGGGACACAGCTTCTGAGACCTTCAAAAGAGTAAGACTTCAGATGGGACTCAGGAGCCCTCACTCTGGGCAGATGCATGGCAGTGTGGAGGTCAAAGTGGAAATGAGGAAGTCTCCATGGCTTGTCTACAAAAAATGACTCTCCAGGTAGAACAAACCTCGCCTGCAAATCAGAGTCCCTGTGAGGCAGAGATAAGCCCTGATTCCCTTGTGGTCATTTATATATATGATCATAGGCATTAAATTCCAGAGATTAACCACAGAGGACTTCCAACAGTCAGAGAACACAAGTGGGCATCTGTGCCGAGAAGCTGAAGAAACCCTGCCATATAGAAATCCCAGGTTATGGCTGCTATTTCTCCAGCAGGCTTAACCAAGGCTTTGTGCAGCTCCCTTACCATGGCTTCTAATAGTCCAACTTCTGCTATAATGGAAGATGCTATCTGCCCTTCTTGGGAACAATTCTGCTCTTAATTTAGAGTTAACTATAGAGTTGTCTATTTCTTGACTTTAAAGTTATACATAAAATAAGGATTGTTACAGATGAAATGGGAAGTTTGACTTCAGCCTATTGTCTTAGGGTTTCTCTTGCTGTAAACAGACACTGTGACCACGGCAACTCTTCTAAAGGAAAACACTGAATTGAGAAGGCAGTTTACAGTTTCAGAGGATCAGTCTATTATCATCATGGCAGGAAGCATGGCAGTATACAGGCAGACCAGGCAGACATGGTCCTGGAGAAGAAGCTGCTACATACTGATCCACAGGCAACAGGAAGTAGACTGAGATACTGGACATGTCTTGAGCATGTATGAGACCTCAAAGTCCACCTCCACAGGGACACATTTCCTTCAACAAGATCATACCTAGTCCAACAAAGCCACACCTCCCAGTAATGCCATTCCCTATGAGATTATGGGGGCCAATGACATTCAAACTACCACACCTATTTTCTTCAAGTGTGTTTGCGTGCATGTGTGAGTGTGTGCATGCATGCATGCATGCATGCATGCATGAATGTGTGGTGCATATACTTGTTTGTGTGGGTGTGTATACATGTAGGCCAGAGGTCAACATCAAGTGTTTCCCTCAATTATTTTCCACCTTATTGTTTGAAACAGGACCTCTCTCTCATTGAACCTGGAGCCTCCTGGTTCAAGAAGGCTGCCAGGCCAGCAAGCCCCCAGCATCTGCCTGTCTCTGCCACTCTAGCACTGGGCTTCTAGGGATGAACACTGTCTGATGGGATGTCCAATCTCAGGTCCTCTTGCTTGCATGACAAACACCTAATCAACTGAGCCAGCCACTTACCCAGTCACCTTCCTTAAAATTTTTATCTCTTCTCAACATTCCCCACCCCAACCTGGTACCTGGAAATCTGTTGATAATGCACCCACTGCCATATTTTACCAAGCTCTATTCTAGAAAACAGATGTGCACTAAACAGATAAGATCAATGACTTCAAACTCTCTGGCCCCCTAAATGAACTCATCAAAAGACACACAGTACAATACCAACTACCTGTAGACACTCCACGACAGTCTAGTGGTATTGATTTTATGCTGATTCCTCAAAACTTCAATCATTATTTTTCTCATCATCAAACTGTCACTTGAGGGGAGAAAATTGAGTTGTGAGAGATTTAAGAATTTATCTTGAGCCTAAAACTGTAGCCACCCTTAACATGTCAGAGTAAGGAAGAGGGGAAAAAGCATGGTGTGGTCTCTGTCTGGGCGTGGGCTATAGCATCATTCCAATTTCCCAGACATAGCAGTCTGTGGACAGGGGCATTAGCACTTCCGATGTGTATATAATTTAAGGCTCACACTTTATAGTTTCACAGGGGCAGGGGAGACACAAGGTCTGTCTGTATAGTGCCGGCTGACTTTGAACTCACAATCTTCCTGCCCAGAGTCAAGTACAATAGGAGTCCTAGCTACTCTGAAGACTGAATCAAGAAGACTACTTGAGCCTCAAATGTTTGGGGTAATATGAGCAATAGTGTGGCTTGGAAGGTTCCTCACAAGCTTTGTGTAAACTAAGGTTATATGTTTGCAACACTTGATTCCCACCTTGGTGGTGATCTTTGGGAAATTTGTGGGACCACTAGAAGATGGGACCCAGCTAGGAGAAGTGGTTCACTTTAGGTAAGGTCACTTTACAGCCCTTTCTTGGTTCCAGCCCTTTCTCTGTCTGCTTCCTGAGCCACTGAGATGCGAGCAGTTGCCTTATGTTCCCACTGCCATAGAGATGCCCGCTGCCAGCTTCCCCCACCTGATAGACTATATCTTCTCTATCCTCCAGCATCCCTTAAGCTGTGTTTGTCCAATATTCTGTCCACATCAATAAGAAAAAAGAGCTTATATAGCAATAGAACACATTGTAAGATCACTGCTCAAAACAACATGTACTCTCTCACATGCAGAACCCATGCTTAAATATAAATCCTCATATATCAATATAGATGCATGATACAAAAAGAGAAGTATTTCTCTAGAGGCCGTTTTTAATCATCACTTGTGTTCCTAGGCTAAGTATATTCTACTCCTGAGCCAGAGTGGCTTGGAAATCCCCAAAGAAAGTGAGAAATAAACATCCCCCTGTATCACAAAGGCTAAGTTGTGAGTCAGCTGGAGTCTTGGTGATTTTATCCTTATCAGACACGTGCTGTTTTATTTGTTCAGCCTGCAATTTCCAGAGTGTGATCTGGAAGCCAGGAGAGGCATTTGGATGATAAGTCGTAGCCTGTGGTTTGTAAACAAAGATGAAAGGTGCTGGGGATATAGCTCAGTGGTAGAGTGCTTGGGGGTGATAGGTCCAGCCCCCAATACTAAAGAAGAATAAAAAGCAATATTGCATATTTGACAATATTGCAGTTAGTCATACCCACTGCCTGATCTCAAGTCTCACGTTACATATGACTCCAGTGACCACTTTCATCCACGTATGCTGTGGCCTCCAGTAACCTCACTATGGACTTTCCCAACATGCCTTCAGTCAGGAACCAAAATCTCTCGGCATCTTGGAACACCAAATGGCACCTGAGGGGTTAAGCCGTAGTGATTTGGGTCTTTTCCTGGGCCTATTGTGGCACACAGCATCGCATCATGGAAGGAGGAGATCAAGGGTTCTTCGTGATGGACAGGAGGCAGACAAAAGGCCAGAATGGGAAATACTGCCAGGGAGCTCAGGAGAATCAAGGAACAGTACTGGAGGAGGAAAGACAAATGTCACATTGTCTCTCTTATACAGAATTGGACTCCTTAAGTACACCTGGACTTCTGCAAAGATGCCCATGTGACGTAGAAGCAGAAGAGGCTGTTTGCAGAGAAGGGAGAGGGTAATGAGAGAAGCTGAAAGGGTCACAAAAGGGTAGCTAAGGGCAACTCTACACAAAGCACAGCGCTATATAACCATGACAGTTACACCATGATGCCTGTTAGTTCACACAACGCTATAAAATTAACTTTAAACGGCAATACACAGACATGAATTTCACTAGAAATTACCAGAACAGCTGTCTCTCCAGGTTTAGACACACTTCCCTTTACGGGCCATAAAAATGCAAAGGTTACCCTGGCTGTTTTCTTTATTTTGTCGTTTCTTTTCTTCTCTCCTTCATTATGTCCCTCATTCAACTTATTTTCTCCAGGTGTCTCAGGAGGGTCTTGAGTTAGCTGATAGGTCCTCTTAGGACAGCCCTGTGTCACCTGACTCTGAGTTTCGGGCAGCTACAAGAGCGCCTGTGTGTGTGCACACACGCTCAGTCACACACAGAGTGCTACAGAATTCCTGACATTCAGAGAAAAAGCACTATTAACACAAAAACACGCCCATGAAAATCAAAGTTAAAACTCAAAGGAGAGCCTGGACAAGACCTAGCGAAGACATCCAGAACAGCCCTGCTCCAGCATAAGCCACTGGGCCCTATCTGTCCGTGGCTCTACCGTTATTTACAAGCCAGTCAAACTCTTGTCAAGCACCTGTGTCTGAAGCGTGGACTCCGGCATGTCAAAGCATTGTATTAATTGATCTCAGCAGTACATAACGAGCTTACAGGGCTTACCTGCCTGTCCCCGGAGGTGCTGGCTAGTGACGGACGACAGCTTACAGCAGACCATTAGCACACAGGCCATGAGCAGCCAGGGTGACAGCGGCAACCTCCATTTAGCACAGACTCTCATCCTGGGGAGAAACAAGGCCCCAGTCGTGAGGGTGAGATAGGCCAAGCTCTTTGGCCCACCCCGCGCAGCGAAACAGAGAGGAGCCAGTGAAGGACCTCAATGGTGAAGGACCTCAAGGTGTGACTCCATCCTCCCTCCCCCAAGGAAACTATAAACCTGGCAAGCTTCAATTTGTACCAACCACAGACTCTGCTTTCAACAAATGCATTTCATAACTAAGAGTCCTCTGAGTTAACACCATGCCTGGGTGAGAGTCTGCTTAGGAATCTCCAAGTAACAGTGAAAGTTGCCCTGATAAAACATGGGGTCATATTCTCTTGTATCTCAAAACAGAGAATAAAGAACCATTTTCAAAGTGAGTACACAGGATCTTTAGGTGTGACTAAACCCAAAAGAATGTGCATATGTGACCCAAAAACTTGGGGTTCTTAGTCTGTATAGTAAGACCCTCTGGGCCAGATGTGATACACAGTTCATTATACAAATCATGGACTCACGTGGGAAAACAGACCAGTATTAAAAAAAAAGCATCAGGTTTGGTAACTCACACCTTAATTTCAGGACTCGAGAGCATCACTAAGTTCAAAGTCATCATTGGCTATTTAATGAGTTCAAGCTAGGCTTAACTATGGAACAAATAGAAATAAAAATAAATTACTCTCATATGCATGGACAGTATCGAGAGTTCCCTAAGATAATTCCTCTCACATTGGTTATATCCTCTATTCTATAACAAAAATAAGCAAACAAAAGGACCAGCCAGGGGCTAAAAAGATGGCTCAGTAGCAATGCCACTAGCTGTACAAGATGAGGACCTGAACTGGTCCCTCAGCACCCAAGAAAAAAGGCAAATATGCTACACATACACCTGCAACCCCAATGATGAGAAGGGGGCAGATCTTATAGGCTCCCTGGGGCTCGCTGGCTGCCTATAATAGAGAACATCCAGTGTCTTCCCTCTGCTTGTATGTACACAGGCACACATGCTTGCACATTCGTGAGCACATGTACCACAACATCACACCTATGCATACACAAACACATATACTCTCTCTCTTTCTCTCTCTCACTCACAAGGATAAAGGACTATCAAAATGCTCTATTCGGACTTCCTACTTTATATCTTCCTAACTATTGTAAGGAAATTAAATTTGATTTACTTTTTCTACTTTGACTTTTAAAATGACCTTTTAAAAAGGTGTGTATATGTGTGTGTGCATGTCATGCATATGTTTGGGGGGGTGGGTAGGAGAGAGAGAGAGAGAGAGAGAGAGAGAGAGAGAGAGAGAGAGAGAGAGATGTGTGAGTACAGATCCCCTCAAACTGGAACTGCAGGCAGTTGTGAGCTCCTATGCATGTGCTAGAAACTAAACTCAGGTCCCATGCAAGATTAGATGATGTGGGATTCCCTTCTGTATGCTGTGAATATGTTTTACTACCATTGGTTAATAAAGAAGCTACTTTGGCCTATGGCAAGGCAGAATATAGCGAGGTGGGAAATCCAAGCAGAGATAGAGGAGGAAGAATGCGGAGTCAGAGAGACTTCACATAGCAGCCAAAAGAGAAAGATGCCAAAATATTACTAGTAAGCCACAGCCTTGTGGCAATGCTTAAGTCAATAAAAATGGGTTAATTTAAGGTGTAAGAGCAAGCTAGAAACATACCTGAGCCATTGGTCAAACACTGTCGTAATTTATATAGTTTTTGTGTGGTTATTCGAGTCTGGGAAGCAGGGAAATGAAAGCATGGTCTCTGTTTACAAGGCTTCTCTCTCCAGCCTCTCAGCTGACTTATACAGCAAAAGTCAAAACACCTGATATGCGCTCACTAATTTAGGCCTGGCACATGTCTCATAGTATCTGCTATCACACTGGACCAAGGAAGCCTTCTTTATGTACAATCCTGCCTTAGAACTCTGCCAATTGATTCCCAGATACCTGAAACAGTATTGTTCCAGTCCCTCCCAAGAATCAGGGCAGCATTTGCCTACAACCTGCACACCTGCTATATAATGTCACCCATCCTGTACAAGAGCATACCCCCTATACAAGCATGCACCTCCTATATAGCTGCATACTTCCTATATAAACTCACACCTCCTAACCACACTTTTTGTACACGTGCACCCGTCCTCTGTAACAAGCAGGGCACCTCTTCTATAACCGCGCTCCACCATACAGGCACACACCTCCTATAGACACACATATCTTCTGTATAACCTCCTCCGCGGTACCTCCCCTAAAGCCTCACACCGCCTCTGTATCCTTACCTCCGTATACACCAGCACGCCTCCCCTACACACTCACCACTCTTGTATAATCTCACACTGCCTCCAGTACTGCATACCTCCTGTGTAGCCACAGACCTCCTCTTCAGCACAAACCCATACACCTCCTTCATTATCCCACTCCTGTATAACTGCAACCTTCTACATAGACTCATACTTCCTGTCCACTTTAAAAATCATCTCTAGATTACTTGTGATTCCCCAAATGATATCAAAGCTACAGCCATCACTGCCTTTCTACGATGTCTGAGAAATACTGAAAAGAAAAATGTCTGTATACATTGACACAGATAGAGTTCTTTACAGATATCTGTGATCGGCAGGTGATCAGTCTGAGAAGGCAGAGTTCATGGTAATAGTGGGACCTGTGAAGATCATAGCCACTCTTGGGCAGAGGCAAAAACTGGCAGGTGGGATTGGATCACCATTTGGGTAACACTCAGAGAGAGTCAAAGGAAAATCCCTCAAGGATGCCAGCTGGTAGTTGACCCAGAGATGTCTGCAAAGAGCCACATCTCAGTCCCAGAAGCCCCAGCAAGCACTTCCAGGCACAGGTTCTAGCCCAGCACCCTCCCTCAGACTTTCATATTTCAGTCGGATGCATCATTTAAAAAAGATGTCGCATTGCTCATGGATCTGCGACCAAGTCTGCCTTTGAAGCAGCCAGGCCAAGATGAGACTCTCAGATCATCTCTGAAGACGTCCAAGTTAAAGGTGACACATAGCATTGACTTCTCACCCTTTCAAACTGTTACCAAGCCCCTAGGAGCTGCTAAGTGAGCTCATTTGTTCTGTGGTCATAGGGAACTAAACTCCACTCTGCAGATATGTTCAAGTGTTCTCTTTTGAATCACTAATTGCTACAAATAAAAAAAAAACAAGAAACTTGATCCTGCCTGCAATTGTTTTGTTTGTTTATATAATTTCTTTTTTTATTATTATTGAGACTCTCACAGGTAGCCTGGGCTGGCCTTGAATCCAAAGAGATCCACCTGTCTCTGCCTCTGCCCCATCTGTACTATTCTTAAGACAAACTGGTTGTCCACATATAAAATGTGCAGCCTGAAGACCAGAATCCACTTCCTTGAAAAATTCCTGCTGGAACTCTGAGGAACAGCTTTTCCAGGAAATGGCAGCTGCCTAGAGATGGGTCTCCATGCCCCACACCACCCACCTACACTGGCTAGTGCCTGAGGTCCTGCTAACCCAGCTTACAGTCCTCTGGATTCTCAACCCTAGAATAAGAGGAAAATGCCTTTGAAACAATTAGATCGGTGGCAGTTGTGCAGTTAACAGTTGGAACTTAAACTGCTCTGTACGAGAGAGAATATTCCACTGAAACTTGATCAAGGTGTTGCAGTTGGTAGAATCCTTGCCTAGCATACATAAAGCCCAGGGTTCGGTTTCCAGCATCATGTAAAACTAGGCTTGATGGTGCAACCCTGTTAGCCTAGCACTGGGGAAGTGAAGGCGCAAGGGTCTGAAGTCTTCTATCATCCTTAGCTAAATAGTAAGTCCAAGGCCATCCTGAGTTACAAAAGACACCGTCTCGACAACAACGAGAAGATCAAATGTGAAATTTGCATTCTCTTTGCTTCTCCTAAGGTTTACATAATTGATAAACCACAGCATCTCAAATCGGCATGAGGCCCACATAGTGGTTTCTTTGAAACCTTTCAAGCTGCTCCAGGGCTTAGCTCCCCTTTAGGCATGTGCTCTGAGGCAGAGGACAGGGACCCTGTGTTCTCATTTAGACCCTCTAAGGCAGTGAGGGGCCAAGCTTCTCTCCATGAAAAGAGTGCCGAGGACTTCTGAAGCAAATGACTAAACTTACCAGCTGACATTAAGTCAAAACTAGGAGCTCGGTTCCTGGAAGTTGGGAGTCTGGCATGGGTCTTTTGGTCATTGCTGGAGGCCTGAGAACCTCGGAGTCCTGGGTTCAATTCCCCACCACCCTTGGACCAGGAAAGGAAGGTCCTCAGCTAGAGGCCCAACCAGAAAATCAGTCCCTGGGATACTGGAAAGCATGTCCTTGGCCTTTGTTTTTGAGATCGCCATGTTATAATGCTGACCAGGAGCTTTCTTGGGCCCTAAAGGTTTGATGGGTGGAGTCTCCCAGCCCTGTCTCGGTCATAACTATTCTTCCAAAGAAATCACAGTCCCATTTTAGGGTTCACCTGAATAACTCAGTTGGGTGGAGGAAAAGCACATGCTGTCAAACTCCAGGTCAATTATCTAAGATCTTAATTACATCTGCAAAACCCTTTACCTTTGCCCTGTGCTTAGAACCTATTCAAAGAGGTGACCCCCGTTAACCATGGTACCTCCCACATTCAAGAGGGGGCTGTATCAACCTGGCTTCCCAAAGTCTGGATGCCAGGCTGCTCTGATCATCTGCCCAGCATCTCTGATCTAGCACATGTGTAACTGGTCCCCTGGGTTCACTGCCCTCTGCCTCACATTATCCTGAATGATTTCTATTTTCTTGTTGAATCCAAACAAGTCCCCCAAATGAGAAGACCCAGAAGAGACATTCCAAATCCTATGCCGGGGTCCCTCGGCCAGATCCTTACAGGAACCCATTCTAGATACCAGGTTCCTCTGCTCCTAAACAAGCATTTGCTAAACAACAGCTGTGAGTGCCAGGTATGGCCCCACAGGCCTCTCACCAGCACTGGGGAAGCAGAGGCAGACAGTTCATTCTCTGTGAGCTCAGGGCCAGCCTGGTCTACAGAGTGAGACACTCTTCCCATATCACCACCACCCCCCACCCAAAGATGCTGTGGTTCCATACAGAAATGCCAGGGCTGGACAGCGAGGTAGGCAGGAGAGATACTCAGACATAATTCTGTGCCTCTTCTTCACCCCCTGGAATGTGCCAGAGGATTTTGCACATTAAAATGACTTCATTTCAAAGACAGTGCTAAAATGAAAAGAATGACAGCTCTCCTGTTTTTTCCTTCAAGATAAGGTTTCTCTGTGTAATAGTCCTGACTGTCTGGGAACTTGTTCTGTAGACCAGGCTGGCCTCAAACTCAGAGACTGATCTTCCTGCCTCGGCTTCCTGAGTGCTAGCATTAAATGTGAGCACCACCACCACCACCCAGCTTGACAATTATCCAAATTTCTAAATGTATTTTTAAAGGCTTCCAGAAAACTTCATCAACTCTCGACTACTTGGTGGCTACTAAAACCAATTTAACTATTTTACCTTAGAGAGTTCACAAGGTATGGTTCCAGTCAAACACAGTTACTCCAGAATGTTCTGCAGAGTGGATGCAAATCCTTCGTAGCTGAGACCAACCATATCGGCAGCTCCCAAAAACTGCTTCAGCTTAGAAAACCTGTTTTTAAAAGACACAGAAAGAAGAAAAACAGGGATCAATTAGCATTAAATGTGTCTGGGAGTAAAATAGCACTTTCTACCATGACGTCTGCAGCAGATACACGAAAGAATAAACTCTTCCTCGTTGGTAATGTTAGCCAGGGGCATTGAGGACTCAATGCTAGTTCACACTATAGACAATTTTATGTTTGTTTTTGTAAGTAAGTAAGTGTATTGGTATTTCTGTAGATATATAAGCAGTTATGTGTTTCATGCATTGTGTGCACACATGTAAGCTGGTATATGTGCATGTGTAAATGCATATAAGTAGGCATGAATGCATGTAAGCACTCATGCATACATTTTCATGCATATGTGTAGTAGGTGTGTTGGAATGTATGTATATCTGTAGGAGAAGCCCAGGCCAAGGGGGCGTGTTCGCCTCGGACAAATGTTTATGTATAAATCTGGCAGGCGTGAGCCCCGTCGGTCCCTTTTGTACATCCGGTTTCATCGCTGAATCCCTGATGTTGTAAGCTATTTCTTCATTAAAGTTTACCATTTCATATTAAGCTAGCCTGGTTATTACGCCGCATCATATATCCACATGGATGTGTAGACAGAAGTTTCTGTCCCTCCTGTTCCCGAAGCCACTTACGAAATAACCACTCTGAGGCTTAATATCAATTCCATACTGTTTGGCCTATTAGCTCAAGCTTATTATTAACTAGCTCTTACAACTTAAATTAACCCATAATTCTTATCTATGCTCAGCTACATGGCTTGGTACTTTTCTCAGTGCAGCATTCTCATCTTGCTTTCTCTCTGTATCTGGGTGGCGACTGCAGACAGAGCCTTTCCTCTTTCTAGAATTCTCCTAGTCTGGTTGCCGTGCTTATAGTTCTGCCTGGCTACTGGAAAATCAGCATTTTATTAAACCAATATGAGTAGCAAATCTTTACAGGGCACAAGAGCATTGTCCCACAGAACTTCCCCCTTTCTTTTCAAAACAAGAACTCTGAATCTCATCTCCTTTGTTTGGCTTTTTTCCTGACCATTGTCCATAACGACTTGTAACCAACGCTCTAAACAAAGACAAACATCCAAAATCCACTTTTTTAAATGTGGGAATAGTTTTCTAGGTACCAAGCTTTGTGGGAGCTGCATGCAAGTGGGGCTGGGGGCAAGATGCAGGACCGCCAGAAGCACAGGAAGCTACGTGGCACCGTGGGAAGACTTGTGGGTGCTTCATGGGCTGGCAGCAAGGACGGGAGCAGCAGGAGAGGAAGCTAAGCCAGACTGGATGGCTGCTAGGGTGCTAGCACTTCTCCCAAACCGAGGTGGCTAGGTTTGGGTTTTAATTACCAATCCCAGCTCTGGCTTGGGCTGGTGTCTAAAATGCCTCAGGAAAACAGATTTTTGGAAATTCATGCCCTATGTTGGGTGCAAAGGAGGCATGATTAATACAATTTCAGGGACAGATATTGGGGTTCAACCTGAAGATCGAAAAAGCAAAACAACCAGTCACTGGCTCTTACCTCTACCTCAGTCTGAAATGGCGAACCTGCCTCTAGGAATCTCAGAATAAGACTAAGACTGAGAGCTGCCTCCTTCCATTTTATAATCCTCTCTAGTTCTGGTATTGAAGGTACGCACCACTGGGATTAAAGGCCCCACCACCTGGTTTCTAAGGTAACTATTATGACTATGGGGATTAAAGGTGTGTGTTACCACTGCCTGGTCTGTAAGGCTGACTAATGGGGCTGTTTTGCTTTCTGATCTTCAGGCAAGCTTTATTTATTAAAATACAAATGAAATACCACTACATGGATACAGAGGACAACCTCAGGTGTTGTTCCTTGGGTGTCATCTTTTTTGTTTTTTAGACAAGGTCTCTCACTGGCCTGGAAGCCCCTGAGTAGGTAAGACTTGCTGGCCAGAAAACCCCAAGAACACATCTCTCTCCACCTCCACAAAGCTAGGATTACAAGCACCATGTTAACCACATTTATTCGTGAGGTGAGAGGAATGAGACAGGGTTTCTCTGGGTAGCCTTGTCTGTACTGGAATTTGCTCTCTAGACCAGGCTGACCTCGAACTTACAAAGATGCGCCTGACTCTGCCTCCTGAGTGCAGGGATTAAAAGTGTGTGCCACCATCACCCAGAAAATCTTTTTTTTATTTTTGTAGAATGGGTTCCAGGGATCCATTTCAAGTCCTTCTAGGTCAGTTGAGCAATCCCCCTAGCCCTACACAATGCAGATTTAAAACAGAAATTGTTTTCAGCAAGACAGCAATTCAATGTTTGACAGAGGGACCCAAATCATTTAAGATACACGGTTTCACAGTCCTCATCTCACTGACCATGGAACGAAAAGGAAGTTTGAGACAATCAGTCCTGAAGGGTATACAGTCTACTAAGGCTCACAGAACAGGTCAGTCTTTCTAAAGATCTGAATCCCTAGATCTGGATGACTGACACCTGGGATAACACTAGACTATCTTCAAGGCTCCTTTTTGAAAAATGTTAATGGGACACATGCAGGAAAGATCTTTTCAACATAACTCTTTGTACCAAATATAAAGAATTCAAGTAAGTCCGTAGTTGGCATTCAAATGCACCAGAGCTTTTCCAAGTAATGGAACCAAGGGAGAGAGGGAGAGAGAGAGAGAGAGAGAGAGAGAGAGAGAGAGAGAGAGAGGAGGAGAGGAGAGGAGAGGAGAGGAGAGGAGAGGAGAGGAGAGGAGAGAGAGCTGAATGATCTAAGCACCAGAAAAAGCCCAGTGGTCAGTGCTTTGCGAGCATACATGAAGCCCTGGGTTTAGTCTCCATCACTACATAAAATAAAAAGGACAACCCTAACCCAAAGCATCTGAAAAACAAAATAGACCCTAGAATGTACATTCAGCCTTGTACATAGCTGCGGGAAATATACCCCTCCCCAAGGAACAGAGAAAAACAGTCACCTGCACTAAAATACTGGCAAACCAAATCCAAGAACACATTAGAAAAATTATCCATTATGATCAAGTAGGCTTCATCCCAGAGATGCAGGGCTGGTTCAACATACGAAAATCTATCAATGTAATCCATCATATAAATAAACTGAAAGAAAAAAACCATATGATCATTTCATTAGATGCTGAAAAAGCATTTGACAAATTCAACATCCCTTTATAATAAAAGTCTTGGAGAGATTAGGGATACAAGGGTCATACCTAAATATAATAAAAGCTATATACAGCAAGCCGACAGCTAACATCAAATTAAACGGAGAGAAACTCAAAGCCACCCCACTAAACTCAGGAACACAACAAAGTTGTCCACTCTCTCCATACCTCTTCAATATAGTGCTTGAAGTTCTAGCAATAGCAATAAGACAACATAAAGGGATCAAGGGGATTTGAATTGGAAAGGAAGAAGTTAAACTTTCGTTATTTGCAGATGATATGATAGTGTACATAAGCGACCCCCAAAACTCCACCAAAGAACTTTTACAGCTGATAAACACCTTTAATAATGTGGCAGGATACAAGATCAACTCCAAAAAATCAGTCGCCCTCTTATACACAAAGGATATGGAAGCAGAGAGGGAAATCAGAGAAGCTTCACTTTTCACGATAGCCACAAACAGCATAAAATATCTTGGGGTAACTCTAACTAAGGAAGTGAAAGATCTATTTGACAAGAACTTTAAGGCATTGAAGAAAGAAATTGAAGAGGATACCAGAAAATGGAAGGACCTCCCTTGTTCTTGGATTGGGAGGATCAACATAGTAAAAATGGCAATTCTACCAAAGGCAATTTATAGATTCAATGCAATCCCCATCAAGGTCCCATCAAAATTCTTCACAGATCTTGAGAGGACAATAATCAACTTTATATGGAAAAACAAAAAACCCAGGATAGCCAAAACAATCTTATACAATAAAGGATTGTCTGGAGGCATTACCATCCCTGACTTCAAACTCTATTACAGAGCTACAGTATTGAAACAGCTTGGTATTGGCATAAAAACAGAGAAGTCGACCAATGGAATAGTATAGAAGACCCAAATTTTAACCCACAAACCTATGATCACCTCATTTTCGATAAAGGAGCTAAAAGTATACAATGGAAGAAAGAAAGCATCTTCAACAAATGGTGCTGGCACAACTGGATGTCAACCTGTAGAAGAATGAAAATAGACCCATATCTATCACCATGCACAAAACTCAAGTCCAAATGGATTAAAGACCTCAATATCAGTCCGAACACACTGAACCTGATAGAAGAGAAAGTGGGAAGTACCCTACAACAGATGGGCACAGGAGATCGCTTCCTATGTATAACCCCAGTAGCACAGACATTAAGGGCAACATAGAATAAATGGGACCTACTAAAACTGAGAAGCTTCTGTAAAGCAAAGGACACTGTCACTAAGACAAAAAGGCAACCTACTGACTGGGAGAAAATCTTCACCAACCCCGCAACAGACAAAGGTCTGATCTCCAAAATATATAGAGAACTCAAGAAACTAGACTTTAAAATGCTAATTAACCCAATTAAAAAATGGGGCACTGAACTGAACAGAGAATTCTCAACAGAAGAAGTTCAAATGGCCAAAAGACACTTAAGGTCATGCTCAACCTCCTTAGCAATCAGGGAAATGCAAATCAAAACAACTTTGAGATATCATCTTACACCTGTCAGAATGGCTAAAGTCAAAAACACCAATGATAGCCTTTGCTGGAGAGGCTGTGGAGGAAGGAGTACCCTCATCCATTGCTGATGGGAATGCAATCTTGTGCAACCACTTTGGAAATCAGTGTTTCGGTTTCTCAGGAAATTCGTGATCAACCTACCCCTGAACCCAGCAATACCACTCTTGGGAATATACCCAAGAGATGCCCTATCATATGACAAAAGCATTTGTTCAACTATGTTCATAGCAGTATTATTTGTAATAGCCAGAACCTGGAAACAACCTAGATGCCCTTCAATGGAAGAATGGATGAAGAAAGTGTTGAATATATACA